GTTAGACGGAGATGAAACGCTGAATGAATTGCGCAACACTCCTATCAGCCACGGGATGCTAACTACACGGCGGTGATGCGGGTTGCTCTGCGACGGCGCATCCTCAGCTTCCCTGATCGGTAGACAACGCGGCGTGAGAGCATGCAGTCGAACATATGTATTCCCGTTTATCGAGTTTATCCGGCGGCTGGTGTCCAACCGCCGGTTTATGATGGAAGCCGTATCGCTACACGCTCTTGTCGACAGGCGATCGCACACGTGTGTGATGCGGGAACTCCTGAGCTCACTCTGCGATGATGCCAGTCCCAGCATTTCACACGCGCATGCCGGCCACCGGCCCGCGCGCGCATCCCGCGCCCCCTGCCAGCCACCAGCTTACACTCGTTTATAATTCATCCAACGGGCGCGGCCGACAGACTGGTACCCTGTCTCTCTTCCCCTCGGAGACCGCGCTGCTGTCGTTGTATTGCGAAGAGATGAGGAGTCAGTCAGTATACACCATCGCAGGCGTCTGCCGCCGGCTGGATGAGGTGGGACGGAGCGGGTAGGTAGTGGATCAGGTGGACTCGGCGCGGTGGCAGCAGCAGCGTTGCGGCTCAGGCAGCAGGTACGCGCGCGCGGCACGCTCATAAAGCGGTCGTCTGCTGAACTCGCGGCTTTACGTAAGCTGCATATAAAAACAGCCGGGCCGATAATTGTACGGCCGCGACAGTCATAAAATCTGGCCTGTGATTGGGCCCGTTGTTTCAACCGCAAAGAAGGTCTATAATAAAATCACTCGGCTACCGTCACGGGCCTTTTATGCTTCGCGTATTTATATTTATACGCAGCTTTGATGTTGGCTTAGCAATTTTTGGATGCACTTTCTCTCTCTCTCTCTCGCTCTCTCTCTCTCTCTCTCTCTCTCTCTCTCTCTCTCTCTCTTATCTCTCTCTCGGCAGCTGACATCCCTCTCGGACGTTATATATGCGCGTAGGTCTTTCTCTATTGGAACGACCAGCTTCTTCAACGACATCCTCTCATGGACTGTTGACAGAAACATGGCAAAGTTACGACGATCTCATACGGGGTGTATAGAGGTCCGGTCTACAAGAAAAAGTTAATGTTGAGACTAATGTTACGACTAATATAGTTTCTGACAACTGGTCCTGGGAGCGTTTAGATTGTACGGTAAACTCCGCGAAAGATAAGATAAATGAATAACTATCTTTAGCGGTCATCACTAGGTGGTATCAACGCTAGCCTAGAAGATATCCTAACCTTGGCATTAGACATCAATTACTAATTGTAGTCGCATGAATCTATACTGCTTCATGAAAGGAATTTAAGTCATAATGTTGTTGTTTTTGTTTTTGCATCAGTAAATGCCGCAAGCAGCAAATCCATCGGAAAGATAAAACAAGACGGCAGGTCTGTAGCCGGTTAACCGTTTATAATCCGATGAAAGTCAATTTCAGTAAAATCTGTACGTAAGGGTATAGCTCAATCGGAGCAGCAAAAGTATTTTAAAAAGGTGTTCGTTCTACAGATGTCCGTTCAATAGTGATGTCCGCTATAGACTTTATAGGTTTACTTTATATGTTAGACTGTGCTAGCGTTTTGTTTGCTTTCACGCGCGTAGCACGTATATACGAGCGCGCATGGCCACAGCCGACGTCCGCCAGTGCATACTTTTACCGGAGCTATCGAGTCAACACTGCAGCAGTAAACAGACTTTGATGACTTTTTTCTGGGTAATTAAATTGAGCGTGTAACAACAACCAACGCAGCGCCGCGAACGATAAACTGCTTCAATTGGCCGTCGGACTGACACGTGATCCGACCTCACGCGGAATTCGCCATGTGCGTAACGAAATACGCAGGTGTCTTCCATATAAAGCAAATAGGACTTCTTGCTGGAATCCGATGAAGACTTATGTTTGAAAATATGCGTTTTTTTCCTTCTACGTTTTTTTCTCTGTGCGCCGTAAGATCATGTGGTTTTTACAGATTGTTTTTACATCTTTGATTTGATATAGCGATTAAAGCTAACGCTGACCCCGTCCACACATGCTTATAAACCGCGAAATACCCTAACCAATTTTGTATTTACCATTGTGAAAATTACCAAGTCAGATTTCAGCCGTGAATCATGACTTGTGCTAATTTTGCCCTGAATTGTCGGCAAAAAAGCGAATAATTTTAACGCAACATGCATTCCAGAAATCTATTCGATAAAAAGTTAGGATGACTAGAAATGTATTATAAATTTAGGTCTGTTTGACTCTTTTAAAATAATTTTATATAAAAAATTTTGTTCATTGAAATTTGTCTAACATGCAGTACATATGAACGAAGAACGTAAACGAAGGGAGGGAGATACAATGATTTGTTTGCAAGATATAATCAGCAAACATTTTTCACTCACCTATCATCGCTTCCTATCTAGCCCGACACAATTAACCAGGCTATTAGCGCTCACTCCGCTCGTTATACTCCCCCGTACCGATGCCACCACGGCCACCGCCACCGCCACCGCCGCCACCGCAACTCTAGCTACTGCGGCCCTCTTATAGATGATGGTAAAAGGGGGAGGAGGGAGGAAGAGGAGAAGAAGAAGAATGACAGACGGACGGAGAAGAGGAAGGAGAAAGCAAGGAAGAGATGGAAGAAGTGATTAAGTGGGAGAAGAGTTGAATGGAGCGAGGAAGGGGCGAGGAAGGGACAACGCAAGGAAGAGAAGGGGGAAGCGAGGTTGTGAGAGAAAGCACGAAGAAGAATTTTTTTAGTTATTAGATAGATCGTATGAATGATCGATGCGCTGTGTGCAGGGCTAATAACAGCGTGCAGCCGGGATTTATTTTGCAGAGCGCAGTTGTAATTCATCTTTAGTGTCGTCTTTACCAAGTTATTCTCTTCCCACCTCTCTCTTTCTCTCCGTGTCTTTCTATTTCTCTATCTCTCTTTCTTTCTCTCCCTGTTCTTATCTTATCATCTCCCTCGCCCTATCTCACACATACACGTATTACCTCTCACTCGAACACACTCTCCTCTTCCCTTTCTCTCTCTGTCTTCCCGTCTCCTCCGTCTCTCTCCCTTTATTTCAGTTTTCCTCACCGCGCTTTCTCTTTTGTTCTCTCGTTTCCTCGTCATTTCCAATTCGCTAGGTCTTCTGTTCTCGCTTTTTTCTCGCGCCTCATCATCCCTCGCTCTCTTTTTCTCGCGCTCATCTATATATCTTCCTCCCCATCAATCTGTCACCGCGGTGGCTACGGGAAACTGTCAGAGCATGCAATTACCACGCAGCTCTTTTCGTTCAACGCTTAGCAGGGATGCTGCGAGACACCCTATAGTGTCAGCGAATTGGTGCCAAAGGGCTTATATCAACACAAGTCCCTAAAGAAGGATCTAATTAACGTTAAGCGCGCGTATGCGGGACGGGGCAAAAAACTCGTGCCGAGCTAACGCATGCTAGTCGGCCAGCGCTCGGAATGGTTTCGCGTAAGAAAAACGCGCCTCCTTGAACTATATGTAAATTCGTTAGGCGACTTCAGTTGAGACGCTTGCGATCAGCATGTTTGAACGCACGCGCGCACACGCATGCACGCATGGTACGCGCTCATGGTGTCATGCACGTACATACGAGCACCGGAACGCACCTGATCGTAAGTACGCCCTAATATGTGTTTCCTAATGATCAAAAACCATATGAATATTTTTCATGCATCCGTTACAAAATTAGTTCCTTACGTCATTGAACAAGAAGAATCCCCACCTTCAAGTGATTTCTAGGTAGATCATAGGCATAATAATTATTCCAATACGGAACGTCGACTCAACAATCTCGATGCCCTCAGCGTTTCTGCGTTTATATATATATATATATATATATAGATATATACTGTTATAAACCACTCCTGCAACGCAGAGCTACAAGGCCGTGGAATCGGTCAAAATAAGGATCCAGAGAAAAAATTTAATATCAATCAATCATATCAATATTTTGTCCGTTTTTAATCGTATAATTCTATCAGCAAACAGCATTCATCTTGCTTCTATTATAAATAAGTGTTTATATACTAAAAGTTGAACCCGTCGTCACGGTCGGTATGCGTAGGGGGGCCTACACGTCTGGCGTGCGTGCGCCCGCTCGCGTCTGTGTGCGTCTGTGTGCTTGCGTTGCTGCGTGTAGGCCCCCTATGTATGTAGTGTGTGCTGGCGAGTGTGCATAATGATATTCACACAGTAACCTATAACTATAACTAATAATGATTGTATTTCCTTCGATATCTAATAATAAAGTAGCTGCGCCCATCGTGTTGTTTGTGAATAATACGCACACTCGTGTTTAGTTGCCTCGTTTTTTTCCGCGAATTCGGCGGTTATTATTTTTCACGTGTATACACGCGCGTGTATGACTATAATTATAATTATGCAATTATCAACATGCGCAAACCGTTATTCTTCAACCCCACACCACCAGCCGGTAATTTGCCGATTCTGCGTGCAGCCCGAGAATTTAATACAATCTCAACTCCTATAACACAGTGTTTTCGCCTCGCATCGTGCGAAGCACCAGCTCTATCTATACATCAGCATATATGAGAAGGATACGCAATAGCAGCAACGGCGATCGCTCGGCCGGAATTTCCGATGAAATATTTTTTCTGCGTATGTAATTGTATTTCGCAGCCTCGCTACTGCGGCTGTCGCGACTCTGCTACGAACATGGCAGCCACTATCTACTGTGGACGCCCGCATACAGCTCGTCTAGAGATCGATAGGTGGCGCTTTTGTGCGTCGTGGTCGACCGGCGAACGCCGAAGACGCCGTCCTTTGTCACATGCGTTGTTTGCATGTCGCAGGACTTTACGCACACTCGTACAAAGTTTCGGAATAAGGGTCGCTAGAGGTAACTACTGCGTCAGCACATCGCTTCACTCTGTGCGTGCCTCAGTCCATGCGCACTGGATTGATGCTGGGGCCACCGCCATCACGTGTATTTACACGAAAGCCCAATCTCACTTGATCTCATTCGTCACCAGATCCGGAAGGTTGGCTGGGAGGTGTGCGAGTGCCGCACCATGGCGCTGCTGCTGCAGCATCCGTCGCGCTTTCCGTTGCCGTCGCTTGCGGTCACGCTTGACCGCCCACTCTCTGCCATGCCTGTGTCGGGAATGATCTTTCTTCGGACGGCGCTTCCGCTTCTTTTTCTTCTTCTTTCGTTTTGGGTTATTCGTCTGCTTCCGTTCGCTGCCGATTTCGGATTTGTTCGTGAGAATGGCTGCGGAGAGAGAACATCGATAAATTATTTGCTAATTAGCATGTGACCCCGGAAGCAGCGAAAAACATAGACCGAATCTTCGCATACATCTTAGCACGTTGCACAATAAAAACTTAATTGACTATACGTCACTTCGCGCTATGGCGATTGCTACGTCGCCCTCAAACCTCCACAGTCGTGTTAGGCCCTACTATGGTTTCTGTGCCAACTTTCTCCCGACAAGGTTGCTCGCTCACACAGTGTGCACATACCTATGCATAGCTGCTTTGGTGTGTAGCACATTCGCAGTTCCGTAACGGGTGGACATTGGCGGCCATCTCTTGACGGGTACTGGACTATTGTCCGATACCGCTGCTGGAAGCCTTCTATGCGTTTGCAAGGCTTTCCTCCCCAATTGCAAAATGTCCAGGAGCTCCAAGACGTCGTCAGGCAGTCAACTGAAGACAAATTAAATTTACGAGAGTGACTGTAGTCGGCTTTTACGGGGGTTTATAATTACATCACTAATTCAACAAAACCGACAGTGATACCATAGATCGTACACATGTAGTATTTACAAAGATTATGTGCTGTATTTTGTGATATCCTGAACACATAATTATATACAATTTTCTGTGTAGATAATATAGTATAAAAGTATCGCGCACACATCTGTATAGATATTTTCGTGGTGATGCTGCGGCTGAAGAGTCTGTATCTTTGGGCACGAACACTGAAGTCGTAATTGGGGTACCTTAGCTTAACTGGGGTAGGTTAGAGCTGGTGTGAGTATTAGGTTAAGGTTTAGATTAGGTTAAGTTTAGTTTAGGGGTGTGAGCATGTTCCAACAATACCCAAGAACATGTAGACACTCTCATCCATACCGCATGGAAAGAACCACATTACTATATATATTGTCTATTATATATATATGATTTCTTCACGATTACAGATTTGAAGAAAGCTTCAACGTTACGATGCGGACAGATTTGCGATTATGTGTGATATGATGTTGAATGTGACAATAACACGCGTGATATTGCAATATCTTAACCATTTTTCGTGGCTATAACCGCACGCGAGCTTCTCTAGTGCGGTGATTTACCCCGCCTTCAGTAGCCGGCTGGGAATCCTACTCGATTTTCAGACGCGTTATATTTAGAAATAAACGCCGATATTATACTACCTTCGCTCGCACAATCTCTCTCTCCTCTCTTTCTCTCTCTCTCTCTCTCTCTCTCTCTCTCTCTCTCTCTCTCTCTCTCTCTCTCATCGCTTTCTCTCTCGCTCTCTCCTTTGTTTCTCTCCCTCTCTCTCGCTCTTGCTCTCTCTCAGTCTCTCTATCGATCTATCTCTCTCTGTATGTGTGTCTTTCTCTCTCGTTTAGAATTATCTCGCTCTCTTCCTGTGTCGCTAATGATGATAATGATGATGATGATGATCTTCGCGTACACTGTCTCTCCCTCTCCTCTCTTTCTCGCTTTCTCTCTCGTTCTCTCTCTTTCTCTCTCTCTCTCTCTCTCTCTCTCTCTCTCTCTCTCTCTCTCTCTCTCTCTCTCTCTCTCTCTCTCTCTACGCACAATGCGCGCCAGGCTGTCACAATATATATATAATATATAATATATATATAAACGCAGAAACGCTGAGGGCATCGAGATTGTTGAGTCGACGCGTTCCGTATTGGAATATATTATTATGCCTATGATCTACCTAGAAATCACTTGAAGGTGGGGATTCTTCTTGTTCAATGACGTAAGGAAACTAATTTTGTAACGGATGGCATGAAAAATACTTCATATGGTTTTTGATCATTAGGAAACACATATTAGGGCGTACTTACGATCAGGTGGCGTTCCGGTGCTCGTATGTACGTGCATGACACCATGAGCGCGTACATGCGTGCATGCGTGTGCGCGCGTTGCGTTCAAACATGCTGATGGCAAGCTGTCTCAACTGAAGTCGCCTAACGAATTTACATATAGTTCAAGGAGCGCGTCTTTTTCTACGCGAAACCATTCCGAGCGCTGGCCGACTAGCATGCGTTAGCTCGGCAGAGTTTTTTTGCCGTCCGCATACGCGCGCTTAACGTTAATTAGATCTTGCTTATAGGACTTGTGTTGATATAAGCCCTTTGGCACCAATTCGCTGACACTATAGGGGTGTCGCAGCATCCTCGCTAAGCGTTGAACGAAAAGAGCTGCGTGGTATTGCATGCTCTGACAGTTTCCCGTAGCCACCGCGGTGACAGATTGATGGGAGGAAGATATATAGATGAGCGCGAGAAAAAGAGAGCGAGGGATGAATGAGGCGCGAGAAAAAAGGCGAGAACAGAAGACTAGCGAATTGGAAATGACGAGGAAACGAGAGGAACAAAAGAGAAAGCGCGGTGAGGAAAACTGAAATAAAGGGAGAGAGACGGAGGAGACGGGAAGACAGGAGAGAGAAAGGGAAGAGGAGAGTGTGATTTCGAGGTGAAGAGGTAATACGTGTATGTGTGAGAATAGGGCGAGGGAGATGATAAGATAAGAACAGGAGAAGAAAGAAAAGAGGAGATAGAGACTAGAAAGTACACGGAGAGAAATGAGAGAGGTGGGAAGAGAATAACTTGGTAAAACGAAGAACAGCTTAAAGATGATTACAGACTGCTCTGCAAAATAAATCCCGGCTGCACGCTGTTGATTAGCCCTGCACACAGCGCATCGATCATTCATACGATGCTAATGCTAATAACTAAAAAAATTCTTCTTCGTGCTTTCTGGTGGCTTTCTCTCACAACTCGCTTCTCTCGCTTCTCTTCGGCCTTGCGTTGTCGCACTTGCCTCGTCGCGGCTTCTGCGCTCCATTCCAATCTCTTCTCCACTTAATCACTTCTTGCGCATCTCTTCGCTTGCTTTCTCCGTTCTGCTTCTCCGTCGCTCTGTCCATTCTTCTTCTTCTCCTCTTCCTCCCGTCCTCCCCTTTTACCGCAATAATTTATAAGAGGGCCGCAGTAGCTAGAGTTGCGGTGGCGGCGTGGCGGTCGCGCCGTGGTGGCCAATCGGGTAACGGGGTAGTATAACGAGCGAGTGAGCGCTAATCGCCTGGTTGAAGTTGTGTCGGGCTAGATAGGGAGGGCGATGATAGGTGAGGAAAATGTTTGCTGAATTATATGTCGCCTGCTTTATTTAGCCGCGATGGTGCTTGACGTTGCAGAAAAGGAGAGAGAGAGAGAGAGAGAGAAGAGAGAGAGGAGAGAGAGCGAGAGAGCGAGAGCGAGAGAGAGAGAGAGGGAGAGAGACGAGAGAGAAGGGCGAGGCGAGCAAGCGAGCGAGCGTGAGAGAAGGGAGGGAGGGATAGAGCATGTGCGGGCGAGAGAGAGCGAGAGAGAGAGAGAGAGAGAGAGAGAGAGAGAGAGAGAGAGAGAGAGAGAGAGAGAGTGCAGGAGATAGAAGAGATATGTGCAGAGAGAGAGAGTCGAGAGAAGGTGACGATAGAAAAAAAGAAAGCAAAAAAAGAAAAAGGAAGAACGAGAGAGCGAGAAAGACGACAGGAGAGAGAGAGTAGCGGCAGCAGCTTTATTGGGCTGAACAGAACTAGACGCTACGTCCGTCGCTAAGTAACGTGGGTGGCAAAGCCAACGTATCTAGTTTATGCTGCCTCAGCATACACATCGCCAATATAGTATAGTATGCTGTATAATAGCATGAGCTATACGTACGGTTAGGTGTAAGCATTATGCAAGTATAGTATACGGGGAAGCAGTGGGTTATACGCTTATAGGCGAGTATCGCGCCACTTCAAACAAATGAAAACCGCAGCGCTCGCGAGCGGCAAGACAGAGGCTGATGAGGAGGTGGAGAGGGGGGAAGAGGAGAATGGCGACATGTATGCATTGATAGAATTGGGTGGCGCAACGCTCACACGGTCAATATTAAAGTTTGAGAACTGTCACCGAATCCTGCGCGCCGCTTGTGAAATTATCAGGACGCGCTGCTTGACTCGGTGGCTTGAGAGAACAACGAGAGGTGATTGAGAGAGGGCGCGGGCAAGGTCAAGGAGACAGATCCGGGAAAGAACTAAGAAGAAATGTGTGATGCTGTGTGTGGTGTGTGTGTGTGTGTGTGTGTGCGTTGCGTGCGTGCCGTGACGTTCGGTGCCGTTTCGTTTCGTGGGCGTGCGTGCGTGCGTGCGGTGCGTGGCGTGGCGTGCGTGCGTGGCATGCGCGCGAGTGAGAGATCGGACAGAGCATCGAGGGCAGAAGCATAGAGAGTCTCGTGTTAACAACCTCCCGCGCTGGCTGTCGCGTCTTTTGCAGTGTCAGTCGGATCAACGTCCACTGCCCGGGGGCTGCGTCTACCGTGCTGACGTTTTAACGGCTGGCGTCTCCATGCAACGCCGCCCTTACTACATGTACCTTCACGCGCGGCGGCATGCGTCAGACACGGACGTCTGCATGTCCTGTCTGTCGCGGCCGGCTTACTACGACACGATAACTATAGGTACAAGAAGTGCTTCTAAGTGAGTGAGGAGGATGTTACGGGGAGCGAAATATGTTGAGGGGAGACTGAAGGAGAGGAGCAGGGAGAAAGGGAGAGAGAGCTTGGGCGAGTTTGAGAGTTATACACACACGACACACACAACACACACACACACAACACAACACACACAGCACACACACGA